GATTGGAATTAAAAATTAACATTTTGTTTACAACTTAACAGCTGGCAATCCATGTTTACATTCAGTTTGTGCACAGTAATTCACCCTTAGTCCTACTGAGCAGTCAGTATAGTCAAAGTCAATGTTCAAGCAGGATCCTTGCTGTGGTAGTTTGAGTGGTTACCACGTGAGAAGTCAAGAGAGAGCGACAGGATCACGCTTCCTCTTACCAAAACAAACAGTTACCTCAGCCTCTTTCTTTTGTTGGTTTGTAGCAGCTCCATTTGCTGTTCAGGCACTGCCAACACTTTTCTTGAATTCTGTTTCCAGTATTCTGACCCTGACAATAAAAAATCTGACCTGATTTTCTTATCTCTCAACTAAACATTTGCTGTATTGGTGAAAATGTATAGGTATCTTAAAACTTATAAACATAACACTACAACACAGATTTGAAGCACTTAAGATAGCTATGGATGCAAAATGTACATTAATGTGAGGATTACACTTAGATGGATGCATTTAGCTGTTCAAGTGTGTGAACGACGCACAGATGAGCTCTTAAAGTGACGGCAGAAAATAGCATTTACACAGCAATGATTTTAAACATACCTCTTGTTCCTTCTGAATCCATTCTTTTATTTCCCAGACTATCTGTCAAAATGATTGCCTCCTGCAGTCCAAGACTTCTGTTAGTTTGGTGTTGATGGTCTGCAGACAAACCTCAAACTCTGAGAAGAGGATCGTCACCATTTTGTTGGTCTCCAGCTTTCCGTTAACCACTTCAGCCATGAGGACATTCCTGAATATTGATGTTTGTTTTTTTTCTTCGCTATATTACAGTTCACCTTCCGCAGTCTCGCTGTTTCACAGATTTTTTTTTTTGTGCAATTTTGCTTGCTTTTTTTTTTTTTTAACAGCGTATGAACACATATTGTGTATTACGGGCGGGTGGGTCAGGACTAAACCAGGTCTAAACCAGGACTTGTCTTGGACTTAAGAGAGAAGGCCTAGCAGTTTGTCCGCAAAGCGCAATCGGGCAATTGCCGCGTTTTCCTCTGTGAGGTGCGGAGCTGAGCCGGTCTTTACTCCTGTGCTCACCTCCGAGCCTGTCCTGACACTGAGTCCTGTTTCAGTTCTGGTGTGACCATATTTCCATTTGTGAAAATCTGGACACCTTACCGAAGGTGGGAGGTGGGCTACAGTCGTTCCTCGCTATATCGCGGTTCACCTTTCGCGGTCTCGCCATTTTGCTGATTTTTTTACATTTTTTTGTGTGTCAATTTTGCATGTTTTTTTTTTTTTTTTACACACACGTGGGTCAGGACTAAACCAGGTCTAAATCAGGACTAATCTTGGACTTAAGAGAGAATGCCGAGCAGTTTGTCCACTTTGTCCAGTTTGTCCACTTTGTGGACCACTGACTTTGTGGTTTGTCCACAAAGGTTTGAAGAGGGAGAGGAGCCGGTGTTCTGCCAAGTTGACCACCAGGACTTTCCCTGTCTCTGCTACAGTTCTGTGCCTCTCACATTTTACAGGTTTACAGCTCCTTTTGTCGGTCACAGAGCAGCGACATGTCTGTACTCATTGCAGAAGTGCAGAATGCCTCATGTGTTTTCAGGCACTGTGCCGCTGTGCACAGGCGAGAAAATACTGGAGGCGGCATTTAGCTGTGCGTCAAAGCGTCCCGGTGTGTGTTGGCCTGAAGACACTGAATTTACTCAGAAAACAAAGTTCTACACTGCAATGCAATTTTTTCAGCATACGTTTCTCTATCAGTCCTGCGATTATGGTACGAACCCCTTTAAACAAAAAAAAAACAGGCAACAGTGTAGGCAATTAAGGTGAAAATAATAGGAGGGGCTCTCAACGGCAACAGCCGGCAATATAACAAACTGAGACAACCCAAACATCAAACAAAAGGGGCGAGCTGGCCGCAGTAATCCAGCCGCCTCGAGCAGGAGGAAGATGGTCCCTTTTCAATCCTCCGCTATCACAGGTGGCATCCGCGGATTGGTGGGAGCGCAGGGATGAACGGCCAATCGTCAATGCGCTGCAACGCCAGCCTCCGTCCTGCGTCAGGTACTCCCACACATCCGGGTCCAGGGCTCGCGGACCGGGAGCATCACGCGCAAAAAAAACAATTACAGAAGAACGGGAGTACTTTAAACAAATATCAAAGGGCCGGGGCCCGTAACAGTCTGACATTAAATCTCCAAGTTCAACATCCAAAACAATTTAATGTATCAACAGCCACCATGTGTCATTCAGAAAGGCCTTTGGACTTAAGCTGCAGTGATTCTGGACTGGTTTGAAGTATTAACTGAAAAGCACACATTTGTGTCAAGAGCACAAACCTGGTCCAATTATAAGCATCACAATACAAAAACATTTCTTATTGGCTTTGCTCTTCGAGGTGTTGTTGATTATATTTCAAATGCTTTTGGAGCGAGGACCAGTGACAGATCACACAGTGTATCATCTTGAACACAGTGTTACCTGGAGATATTGTGCCTGCAGATCTTTACTGTTGAATACAGCACTGGGATTTTTTAAAGACACCTTAAAATAGAAACCCTCACAAATCAAATTAGAGTCCACATTATTGTTGTCTGGGTCCTTAGCGCCATCTGTGAAAATGTGAGACCGTTCCACTCACTTCTGAGGTCAAGTATAAGATCTGGAACATGACTCAAAGATGACGTGTTGTTTTTAATGGCCTCTGCTCAGAGGATCGAAATGCCAAAAAAGAGTTTTTCTTCCTGAATACTGACCTAGCCCTGCCCACCATGTGACATCAAAACATCCATACAAAATCTGACCTGTCAGTTAATCATAGGCAGCTTGAATTCCTGAAAAATGTGTTGTGTTCAATAGCGAATGCTTTCTGGGACCGTCTTTCACCGGAGCTCCTGGGAGCTGCAGTACCTGGAGCGGTCACTAGTAGATCTTGCTCTGGGACAGAGGGAGTCTTACCCCAGGAGTGTCAGCAGCACGTGATGTAGACAGAGCTGTATATGCGAGTACTTTTAAAAGCTTCATTTTACACCAGAGGCAACATATCTGCTTCTGAGACACCAGCCTCTGTGTATTCTCACATTTAAACTCTAAACTCTGTGTATTCTCACATTTAAACTCTAAACTCTGTGTATTCTCACATTTAAACTCTAAACTCTGTGTATTCTCACATTTAAACTCTAAAATCTGCGTATTCTCACATTTAAACTCTAAAATCTGCGTATTCTCACATTTAAACTCTAAAATCTGCGTATTCTCACATTTAAACTCTAAAATCTGCGTATTCTCACATTTAAACTCTAAACTTTTAACACTGTTTATACATATAAATGATGATAGTGATAGTGATAATGAGTTGTATCTGTGGAGCATTAATGAAGCTTGTCACCATTTCACTTTTCCTTCAGAAGTTCTTCTTGTAATGTTTCTGTCTGATGTGGTAAAGTGTTTTATATTTATTCTCCGTGGCTGTAAACTTTCCGTGTCCATCACGAGTCGTTCCCCGATCTCCTGATGCAACGCACGGTCAGTGTTGGGTAGTAATGGATTACATGTACCAGAGTTACGTAATCAGAGTACAAATTATGAGTAACTGTATTCAGTTACAGTTACTGTTTCAATGAGTGGTAATTGGATTACAGTTACTTTGCTGAAATAAGTGGATTACAAGGCGGTATTTTCCTGTTTTCACATTTTGTGCTACATCCCATTTATTTATTTTTTTTATTTCGGTAATTCCACTCATTGCCGGAAACCCAAACAGAACGCGGCAGTAAGAGCGACGTAAACGTCATGTTAACGTTGGCAGCATCAGTCACACAATGGACGAGGTCGAAGAGCCAGTAGAACAGAGTCAGCAGTGCACAGGTAAAAACACATTCGTGTCTTGGAAATTCTTCTCCCGACGTGAGATATAAAAAAAAAAAATATATATATATATATATATATATATATATATATATATATATATATATATATATATATATATATATATATATATAAAATCGCCTACAACTTAAATGTCAAACCGGAGCTACTGGCACTGGTGAAAACAAACTGCATAGACTCATGATGTCTGCACTACTGTCCTACAGTGACCTGCGACACGAAGGGACACGCACACAAACACAAACACACACCTTCATCATCGTCATCGACCTGAGAACGCGCGGACCACCGTCATTCTCCCGCGCGCCATGTGTGGATCGTGTTTTCTCACGTACGCTGTGTAGACCGCGCTTCCTCCTGTGCGCCTCTAAACCAGAACTAACACCAGCACTAAAACCAGGACTAACCCAGTCCAGGACTAAACCAGGACTAAACCAAGACTAAACCAGGATTTAAACCAGGATTTAAACCAGGTCTAAACAATGATACCTAACAGTAGGTTGGACATAATTTAAGGTGATCTCATATAAAAATAATTTCTCTATCAATAATATTGTTAATATGGTTAAGGAAAGACTGGACTTTTTATTGTCTTTTAGCAGACAAAATTTATGTTAAGATTTCCTGGTCTTTGCTTCTCTACAGTAAACAGTTGTTTATTCATGGAGACTTGGGCTCAACAGACAATTTGAAGAGAACAAACAAGAATTTTCAGGATGTGGTTGTTACATTCATGTAGTTTTAAAAGGCATGACAATATCAAGTAATCCAAAGTAATCAGATTACGTTAGTCTCTAGTTCTTTTTATAGATCCATGGTGAAATCACGTTTGGCTAAATGATCAACATCAGACTCATACCAAAGCCAAGGTGCAGAGGCCAGAGTGGTGGCACAATATCACCATTTTAAAAAGAAAATTCTTGAATGTCACTGTTTGTTAACTTTCTTAACTGTTTGTTGCTAATTGTTAACACAATTTAAAAAGATATTTCTGTTGAGCCTGTTTGTGCCATGGCCAAACTCCAAAACCACACTTTGTTTCATCTGAATTTGGGTGTGAGCCAGATGGGGTTGTCTTTCACTTATCGCAGCAGTCTGGGTTAGGTTTTGGTTAGAGAGGTTTATGTAGCCAGAACTGTTGGGAATCTCTACATCAAGGTGTTCCTATGAGTGCCTGTGTCTGCTCCGTTTGTGGGTTTACTCTCCTGCTCTGGATGAGTATGGCTCAGCAGGTTTGTGGCTATGCAAGTGTGCTCCAGAGAGAGGCAGAGTTTGATGTGACGTACAGAGACACTGTTACAAGTGACAATCAGACCATCTACGCTTTCAACTGCACAGTCTCCTCCAATACGGTAAGATACAACAGTTTTCAAAATATTATACAACAGAGAAAATTATTAGAAGTCCGAAATGCTACTTGGATGTGTAGAGATTATGCAATATTGTCCTTATGGTGCTTTTCTGGCTTTTAAAAAGGCCATATATTACATAAAACTGTCTCTTGGGTTTTATAGTGTCTAACACAGGGGTGGGCAAACTTTCTGGCTCGCGGGCCACATAGGGTCCTAAAGTTTGACTGAAGGGCCGGACAAAAGACAGGACATAACGTGTTAAGAGCTCAGATTCATTACGTTCTTATTCACATTTACCTTCAGACGCGCTACACGTTTCATCACTACTGTGAAAGATTCAGAACACATAAAACTGTTGAGACCTGCTCCACTACACACCACGAGTGACAGTATATCATGAGTTCACCATTTTCAAATATGACTGGCAGCAGCTCAAAAACAAAGCTCAGGCCAAACAACCACAGACACACACCTGTGAGTGTGATAAAACCTGACTGCAAAATGTTCTACGCATTAATAATTACAACTCAGAGACCATAGATTTCTTTGATTGATTTTTACCAACTCAAAGTGGAAGCAGTGCAGTCTTATATCTTAAGCACCAACTACTTCACTCATGGTCCGAATAACTCCTGTAAGAACACTTTCCCATAAAGCATTGCGGCCAACAGAATACGCCGTAACTCAATGTATATATAGTGCGCCATCTACTGGGAAACGCTGGAAATGCATGACAAATAAAACATCAACAAGGTTTATTATTGTAATTTATTGCAGTTCGGCGGGCCGGATTAAAAGGTTTAAAGGGCCGCATACGGCCCCCGGGCCATAGTTTGCCCACCCCTGGTCTAACATGACTTAAAACTCACAACATTCCATCCTACTAAATGAACGACTGAAAAGTCAGCATGACTCTTTCCAAATCAGTTACAAAAACTCAACAGTAAAAAAAATGGTGTGTCAACTTATTTGAACTGAGTGTTAATGGATTTGTAACACACTTTAAGTTACTTGGTTCTGAACTGTTTTAGTTACACTCATTTAAGTTGTGCCGTACATGAAAATGTCTGTAATATAATTCTTATTAACTTTTTAAACAGAAATATTATTTTTGCATGCATATTATGGTTCTAATAATATGAATTTGCATACTCAATAGTTTCTGGTGAAGGTGAATGGAATGGAGAGCTTCTTGTATTACCACATTACATCACAAGTTGAAACAAGCTCACTGTGAGGAGGAGCAACAGTTCAGTGGAGCCAGAGGCGTCCCCATAAACACTTCTCATGTGAAACGTGGCGGCTAGTGGGTTAGCTTTGTCCATTTATATAAAGTCTATGAGAGAATCCGATCAAAAAAAAAAAAAAAAAAAATGACCATACTCACAAAACGGACTACAACAAGCGCTCCTCCTTCTCCTCTGCTGCTTTGATTTAAGTTTTGGTTTTGGTAAAGAAATGATCAATAGCCTCCAGAGTGACTGATGTGATGCTCATTCTGCTTTCTGATTGGATAGTCGTCTCGATAACTGAAACAAATTAAAACATAAACTCCTCTTGTGGATGTTCACAGACGGTGGCTTTCCGAGTGGCTGTGGAGGTGTTCTCAGAGACGCCCATTCAGTTTGTGCTCCGTCAGAAACACTCTGTCCTGTCCTTCGAGATTCCTCTGATAATCAGAGACTCGTGAGTACATCTGATCTGAACAGTCTTTACAACAGACCTGTCTCAGGGCTTAACAGTATCAGAAAGTATTGTAGTATTTACAGTATTGTGTTATAAGGTTTTGGCTATATTCTTAATACACAAAAAAATATATATATATATTTAGTTTATTACTTAGTTTATTAACAATAACGTAAATGTGTTTTTAAACCAACTGGCTAATAAATAAAGAACACTATTCTCATCTGACTCCTACGGTAATAAAAAAATCAAATTAACGTGCGGCTGCTTTCAGAAGCACTATATCACTATTCCAATATTTAATATACTTTTTAACATCATCATTTCAGTTACATTAAACTAAAATGTAAATATACTAGTCAGACTTAAAATAAAAGCTTAAAAAGAGACTAAGACTTAACTGGGAAAACAAATAATAAAATGTGTCCTTTGAAACATTTTCATGTTAAAAGCCTAATTTACATAATATGCTCTTCTTAAAGTATCCTCATTGTTTGTTTATATTGTCAGAAATGAAAGGACGTTCAAGTACAGTTCCATGGAGAGGACGCTGTGCCCCCCTCACACCCCGCAGCTCTCAGGGGAGGACTCTCTGTTTGTGGATGTGTGGACTGGGAGTGACAGCTCACAGTACCAGCTCAGAGTCGTCCAAGTGGACAACTTCAATCTGGAGTGAGTATTAAACATACTACTACAGGAACTACTGCTGTAGTATTCAACATGGGCTCCTTGTTTATGTGCAGTACTTCTACTGAAACCCATATATCACCCAACAATAATATTTAGCCACTTTATTATATTTCTGTCATGGGGATATAATTCTGTGGAGAGCATTTTCTCTGGGCTTCAGTGATACAGTGGTTGTTACTGATACACAGTGTTGGAAAGTTACTCCTGCACTGTGATTTTCAGGCATCTACTGAAAGAAACTAAGAGTCTGGGCTCTTGTTTTAAGAAAGGTTCTTTACTACTTTAGGTAGTAGAGGTTTTTCATGTCTGAACCAACTGGATTTCAGCTCTGAACCTGGCAACCCAAATGAGAAATGGCAAACATGTCCAGTGTTTTTGTAATTAAGAATAAATGAGCATTACAAGAACTCTGATCTGAACGCTCTCCCAAACCCCAGGACCTGCAGCCAATCCTGCATCAGTGTTCAGTGTTAGGGAGGAAATTCTGGAGTATATGCAGGAACTGATGACCCGGGGTCAGTTGTGATTGTAATAACACAGTGAGAGCACAGGCTGCACTTCCTTTAAGAAACTAAACAGACTGACGCCTTCATCACTGTTGATACTGGTACTTATTTCTTCTGCTCGACAATGTATTAGAGCCCGATTGATTTATCAGTTGGCCGATATTATCGGTTGATACAGGCACCTGGAGACATATCGGCTATCGACCGATATGCTTGCTGATAGGGGCCGATATTTCATGTGGGCATGTGATACATCGTTAAAAATCTTAGACTCTACATTCTGTTCATTTAATCCAATTTACAGACAGATAAATGTCCTAATATGTGGCTCCGCATCAGTATTTATCTGCGGAGTCATTTGTCTGTGTTTGTCCATACTGTCCCTGAACACACCACAGAGTTACGTCACTCATGTGTGTTTGTTTACACCTGCAGACACAGATCCAAACACTGAGATTATATTCTTTTTACGGACAATCGGTTTGAGTCTGGATTAAAAGGACATTTGTTAGTTCAGACTTGTGATGTGGGATGAGGAGCCTGTTTGAGCGGTGAGTGTTGGAAATATGTCGACTTTGAAGCTAGTTTTGGTTATTTTTTATTGATTAGCTGCTGTAGCTCCCGCACATAAACAGGCTGTTTTCTATTGGTCTATTGTAAAGTGACTATATTGGCCGTATATTTGTTACTGGACCTGCATTGATATGTAAATGAGCTGTAAATAGACGTGTGAATTATGACATTTGCGCATATAATTAATTACCGCGGCGTGCACGTATTTACGGCTAAAGGCTAATAGCGGTAGTTTCTTTAGTGTGTAGTGATGGGTCGGTCACGAACGAAACGGCTCTTAGATCTTTGAAGCGAATGATGGGAGCCTGATCCTTATTGGGAGCCGTGTTTTCTCTTTCTCTCACTTTATTTCTCTTCACGCCGCATGTAGAGTAAACCCGTAGTTTGAGAGCGGACAGCGGCTGAAAACGAAACTTTCAGAAATTTGCATGTGCATAGGAGAGAATAAATGTTCATATTTGGCTGTAGATCAGCACAAAATGAATAAACCAGGAATGATCTTGGGCTCGAGATAAAGACCGAGTCCCAACACTCAATCCTGGTTCAGTTTTGGTTTAGTCCTGTTTTACACATGCTTTAGATCTATTTTAGTCCTGGTTTAGTCCTTTTTCAGTCCTGGTTCAGTCCTGCTTTAGACGTGCTTTAGTCCTGCTTGCAACAAAACAATCTGAAGAGCCGCTTGGGAGCCGAAAGAGCCAGCAGCTTTGAGTGAGCCGAGCCAAAAGAGCCGGTTCTCTAAAAAGAACTGGAATACCATCACTAGCTGCTAGAATGTGATACAAAAATGCCATTAGGCCGACCTAGTGTCTGTAAATATGATGTAAAGAGGCAGAATAACAATAAATGTTGCCTAAATAAACCCAATTTAAAATCCACCAGAGCCAAACCTAAGTTTTTTAAACAATTCAACATTTACAGTGAATTTTTAAATCACTAAATATATCAGCGATTATATCGGCTATCGGCAGCTCCAATTCCCATTATATCGGTTTCATATCGGCCACAGCAAAATCTATATCAGTCAGGGTCTACAATGTACGTATGTACCAAGAATAATTTCATATTTGTGATGAATAAAAGTCATGATTCTGAATATAAAAACATTAAACAGACACACATGCAGTGGAAGTGTTATTACAGATTTGTTTTATTCATCAGGACAAACAAGAAGCTCAGCTTCACAGCCTCTCCTTCTCAGCCCCAGGTAAACACTCACTCCTGTAAACCAAGAGCCACATTTATTCAGGTGCAAATGTGTACTGTGTAATTTAAACTTTTCATTTTACTTACTGCACAATCCTCCAAAATGTTGACGGTCCGAGAAACAGGAATTGGTCAAGAAAATACATAATAAAAATGTCACAATCATGTCAGTTTTTGTTTTTAGATTCATACAGAGATCTTGGTTTTCGTTGCATTTTCTGGTTTTCCAGTTTTTCAAGTATGTTTATCCTGAGGGAGTGGACCGTGTTACTGTCAAGGTCACCTCTGAAACCAAGTTTCCCTGCTCTTTCCTGTCCATTCAATACATACAGGTAAAGATTTTATCAGCTGAAAATGCTCATTTTACACTGTGTCAACAACAAGTTCATTTTTTTTTTTTTTCATTAAGTGCCCTTTGGATTTAAGCCCAGCTCTGTTAGCTTTGGAGATCTGACAAAATCATGCTTTGACAAGGCAACAAGTACAAGAAACATAAATATAAGTTCACTTATAGAGAATTTTAAGGAACACATATTACGCAAAATTGATTTTTTTGAGCTTTTAACTATGTTAGAATATTGACACTCATTCATGAAGAGTGTAATTATGGCCTTTTACAAACATTTCTGGCATTCACAAAATGTTCTTCTGGAAGAACAAATCCTGTAAACCGTGAGGAGCACTTGTAAGAACAAAGTCTATGCAGTGAGGCTCAGTCTGTCCCAGCCCCAGTGCTCTCCGTATGCCCCTGCCTCAGCGGACTCATTCTATGGCCAAAGTTCTGCAGTCAAGTTTGTTTTTGGTTTTTTTTTTCCAAATATCGACATTATTCTAAGTTAGACATTTTGAAAACTATTCCCCAAGTGACCAAAATCATGTTTAAAAAGTGAATGAATGCATAATTATTCATGCAACACTCTCTTATGCTTAATTCTTTGTGTTTTATTTCCAGTGCCCTGTGTATGACCTTGAAAGTAATGTGGACTTCCTTGGGATGTATCAGACTATTACCACACTGGGAGCCATCATAGTTCAGGTACAATTTCATTTATAAATGAATACACAATATTCAAAATGTTTGCTGTAAACTTGGGATGATTTAGGCAGTCAAAAGTTTAATTTTTGGTCCTTCCTGTGGATCAACCTTGCGCATCATCTTCACCTTTCACTATTTTCCAATTCCATTGGAAAGAGAAACAGTTTGAACAGAGGTTTGAGTCACACACATCTGATTCCCTTTTGCATTTATGGAGCTCGCAAACAAATTTCTCAAGATGTTTTCCACTGTTAGGATCCAACAACCACACAATTACAATGACTGAATCCCAAAACTAAAATATGACAATGTCAGAACCAGAAACATCCTTCCCAGTATGCACTGCACAATGACCGGAAGTCCGAGATTCTTGATGCATCTATTCAACATTATTGATATTGTGCCTTATAATTCGGTGTGCCTTGTAGTTTGAAAAATACACTAACTTCAAAATCCAATGTCTATTGTTCCAGCGTAAGGACTTTGTCAATGGCTTCTATGTGGTGGTGGCGGTCAACCCTGAGGACGAAGCCTGTGGAGGACTTTCAGACTCCTCCATGACAGACACTTTCAGAGACGCTGGAGAACGAACCAAGAGACTGGAAGTTGTAGTGTCTCCTTCTACTACATTTAAAGTAACATCAAAAGGTACTGTACTTGTCTTAAAAATGTGAAAAAAAAAATAGTTTGCAGCAGTCCAAAGTTATTCCTCACCTCTCTACCTGATGTACTCCGAGCATCCTAATTACTCACCGTGATGAGTTTATGAGCACTTTTCACAACTCAACTTTTCACAACAGGCTACGTTTACATGATGAGGGTCTGAACAGAAAGCACAAAAGTGGTGTCGCGTCTTCACTTTTTATTCCACGTTTAGACGAGTATTTTCGTGAAGAAACCTGCGTGCATACGGTGACACAAAAGTGTGTGGAATTGGATTGGGTGTGTTTGTACTTAAAGTAACAAGAGCGTCTTTGTACATACAGAAGTTTTCACGTCACACATTTTCATCAGCTCCTCCTTCCACAAAGTTGTCCCACCATCGACTGGTTCTCCACGTCTCGTTCATATCTGTCTGACTCACCTGAGACCAACTGGTCCATCCAGAATTTGACAGAGGTAATTACAGATCCTTCTCTGTTCACTAATAGTATCTCTGCAGATTCTGTACATTTGTTGGGATGAATCCTGTAAGTTTATTGGAGCTGAAGAGCAGCTTGAAGGTCCGATGCATGGAAATGATCCGACACCTTTGTTTCTGTACTGTATATATGTGACATAAACGTGTACACGACCTGAGTAGATCTGACCAGAGTTTTACGTCTTGGGCAGTGTAGATGGAAACGCTACGGCGGAGCCTATTCAACTTTTCCACTACTGGTTTCAGATTTTTGCATTTTTAAGCCCCAAAAACACTGTCGGTCACTGTCTAAATCAGGGGTGGGCAAACTTTTTGGCTCGGGGGCCACATAGGGTTCTAAAATTTGACTGGAGGGCCGAACAGAAGACGGGACATGACGTGTTCAGAGCCCGGCTCCATTGCACTCGTATTTACTCTCATGTAGGACGTATTCTGCACTACGCGCTGCAACTTTAAACATGAAAAGTGAAATGAGGTCTGCCCCACTGCACAACAAAAGCAAACATGTGTCCCAAGCACTTTGACCGAGAGTGTAGATGACACAGATCCCATGCTAATGCACAGTCTAACCAAACCTTTAAGACTTTCTCATCCAATGAATATGAAATATATGATGATGTTTCACACAGATTTAAAGTGGAAACAGTGCAGCCTTATGTCTTGAACACTTCTACCTCATTCATGGTCCGAATACACCGCCCAAAATGACTCCTGTCAATACTTTCCCATAAAGCATTGCGGCCAACAGAAGTCGCCACACCTCAATGTATATATAGTGCGCCATCTACCGGGAGACGCCGGAAATGCAAGAAAGATAAAACAGCAGTAAGGTTTATTTATTATAATTTGGTCAAGTTCTGTGGGTCAATTTGAATGGCTGCATAAGGTCACCGGGCACTAAATAACTGGATACAGTATTGTTGCTTGTAGCTGCCTCCAGTTGACGTAGTGTCACTCACTGGAACTTCAGCAGAAAAAATCTCATGGGCTGAGACAAGATTTTTCTCATAGAGGCAATGTAATCACAAACTGCTCGTGTTCATCTGACAGGTCATCTACAGCTTTCAAAAATATCGGATCTGTTGGTGATTTTTACCTATTTTTAGATCATAAACTTTTTCTCGCTCAAAATCCTTCAGTTGTCTTAAAAAAACACTTTATATTCGTTAGCTCCTGCTCCGCTCTAGCTCTTCTCGGTCAAAACGATCACTTGATACACGAGCCCGCGCTCCGTGCGTGTCTGGGATCATGCGCCATTGAGCTCTGCACATCAACTTGAACAGGTAGCCATTTTGGAACCTGGGGGGTTTGGCGCTGGCTCGTACAGTCTTTCCATACGCATATATCACAGTGATTCCTATCTTTGTGATCACACCACATATCAAGAGGTATAGTACTTTACATAAGACACCATCACATGAAGGCATCCTTGCAGTGAGATTTACTTTATACACAGTAAGTGCAGAATTAGTGCAATCTTATGTCTTGAACACTTCTACCTCATTCATGGTCCGAATACACTGTCTGAAAATGACTTTCCCATAAAGCATTGCGGCCAACAGAAGCCGCCGCACCTCAATGTATATAGTGCGCCGTCTACTGGGAAACGCCGGAAATGCAGGAAAAATAAAACATTAACTAGATTTATTATTATTATTTATTCAAGTTTGGCGGGCCGGATTAAAAGGTTTAAAGGGCCGCATTTGGCCCCCGGGCCGTAGTTTGCCCATCCCTGGTCTAAATGAAAGACACTTCTGATTAAATGTTTTGTTGTTTTTATCTGCGTTCTCGTATAAACAGGCCCGAAGAGACTGGAGTTTTGCTGTGATGGTAAAGCTAACAACTCTTAGCCTGATTCATCATCCAGTTTCACTTTGTAGAAACTGTCTGACCTCACAGCATTAGAATTCGTTCACTCGACAGTAGGAGGGTACTTTTTAAAAATGTAATCAATCATTGCTGTTTGGTCATGATGTATGTAATGCGCTGCTAATGGGGCTAACTGGTATATTAAGTTTTTCCCAAATCCTGTAGGAAGAAGGACAATAACGTCTTTCCCCTTGATAAAATTCACCAAACATTCTTTGTTCCAGCTTTAAATCCTCGATCTTGGGAATTGTTACCAACACAGAATATATGGCTTGTCGCTGTTTGGCGCCCTGGTGCTCGAACTCACACTTCCGGGGTTCTTGCAAACCATCTAGTGTATTCTGATTTCTGATCTAGTCGCTGGAGAGAAATGAAACTGAGCAGAGGCACTAGGTGGCGCCAGCCTGACTAAACAACTCTCACAATAAAAATGCTTTCTTATTAGACTGAAAACATATTTTGACCTCCTTCTTGCTTGAATTACTGTGATGGCCTCTGCAATTTATGAAAATTGCTCATAAACTCATTGTGGTGAGTCATTTGGATGTGTGGAATCCATAAGGTAAGTGAGAAATAACTTTAGACCACGGAAAACTGGGGGTAAAGTTAACCAGAGGCACTGCTCTGTCTGAAGCTCTGAGCTTTAGTTTAACACAACCTCACCATAAAGAACTGATTTAACATGACAATCACAAGTTTTACCAAGCACAAGTATTACCCAACAGCTTTTCAAATAAATCAGTTTTGTCCATTTTCCTTGAGTTTTCAGACAATCTAAAAACATATCTGTCTGTTTGTTAAAGGTCCTATATTATGGAACACTGACTCTTGTGAGCTTTTAGTCATGTTAGAATGTTCTTACCTCCTCAAAAACAGATCAGGGGCTTCATTTATAAAGAACTGTGTACTTTGTCCTAAGTTAGTGCGTACGCCTAGTGGCCATGCAAATTCCAAATAAAAAAAAAACCCTTTGCACGCACTGGACCACACGATCTGTGCTTTATAGATCCACCTGCAACTAGAATCAGTGCAGGTAAACCCACGTACCGTCACGCCCTCTCCACACCTCCACCTCACCATAAAAGGAGCATGTAAAGTGACTGGTAAATGAGATTTCCCTAAACATGAGGTGATAATCAGTGAGTTTGATCAAGACAGAGGGAGGAGGACGCTCCACGCAGCACCACGTGATCACGACAAAGACTTAAACAAGGTTTTACAAATAAATAAAAAACTTTTCCTGTTTATGCACATATACTAATCGATCCATGCATGTGGGGTCTGAATGGTCAAAGGAGGGGGCTATGAGCGCGTGTTATTGGGTGCTGTTATTCTGCCCATAAAAGACCACATAAATACATCCAAACTCTTCTCACCTCTGTGAGTGTGGGCCTGGGTCTTGGGCCTGGGTCTTGACGGGCACAGACATTATTGTGTTCTTCATACTATCAGAGATCAGCTTTCATTTGCAAGAGCTCCCATAACACAAAAAAGTAGGGAATATTTTGAGGTCAGGTTCAGGTTCGGCCAGTCGGCTTTGTGTCGTGCACAGACTCGGGTCATTCTGGCGCTCGGTGTTGAAGTTGTGGCGAGTTAAGAGTTTTCTCTCAGGTCTGGTCATTATTTCACCTTCAGTGTTGGGTCACAGACTGTGTTCTATAGAAGTCTACAGGGGAACATGCTCGTCTCAAATGTATACTATTGTAGAGAATAATGAGTGGAATAAACAGCCCTTCTGTTTTGGTGAACCTCTGCTTAAATGCACAAATCTGAATATAATTATTTTATCTATGTGGATTTTCTGATGATTTCCTGATCAAACTCTTCCTCAAACTCTCTTCACTTTTGCTCTTCTCCATGAGTGTCACTTTTTCCCATGTCTTCAGACTGTGCGTAGAGTTTACAGCAGTTTACAGCAACAGTCCGAGCCGCCGTAGAGATAAACAAAGCTTAAGACGAGTTTCATAAATCCCGCGGTTGGCATAAAGAGCACCTACACAAGGATCTGTGTGTACATGAGCTTTATAAATGAGGCCTCTGGAGTTGTGTTTTGTTTCATTCACACAAGTTTGAGTAACTCTTTATTATTAGTCTGTCTACATCTCCAAAGCTCAAAATGCTCTGTTCCACCTTGTGATGTCATGTAGTGGTAGTTTTCAAGTTCACAATTATCTTTTACCTTTTGTTCAGTGGAGATTGGCAATTCCAAGTTTGAAGTCATCCAAATGATTCTATTGAAGGTGTAAGGAGTTTAAAAACACAGTGGAATAGTTCCTCATTCACCACATGACATCAGAAGGTGGAACAGAGTGTTTTCTGTTTAAGAGAAAAACCTAACCTTCATAACCTTCATATGCAGGGTTTGTGTGTTAAACATGTGTGAAGCAAACAAAACACAACTCCAGGTCTGTGATGAGGAAACTACATTAGAACATAAAATGACATAATATGGTCCTTTTAATGCGTACATAATGTTGCCATGGTAACATTCCTCCATAGACATCATGCTGTTTTTATTTCTGGTGCTAACATGACTGTACGTTTGTCTCTTTCACAGATGCATTTGCAATTGTGATGGGCGTCTTTCTGCTTATAGTGATCATATATCTGGTCGTTCTGGTGGTTACCTGGCCTACAAGCGGTATGTTTTTCTTTGTGCCATTTTTTGTCTTCATTTATCACATACCAAAACATATGGGGAAAAAAAGCATTTGGAAATGGTGATTTATGCAAAATAATTGTCCTACATCTCTTACATCTGCTTTAGATTTTGTGCGTGCAAGGCAGAGTCCTGCACCAGGTCGGGTACGGGCAAATGGTTGCTGAAACAAGCGGGTTTTAACGTTCTGGAACTTTACGGGCGGGTATGCAGGCAGGTAGTGATTACACACAGGCGGTTGATAGCCAAGGTCAGTTAAATACAATCCATCAATGAACCTACCCAGGGACGACAGGTGGAAATTAACACTGATGCTACAACCTGGTACAATGCATCTCTCCTGTTAAGGTTCATGTAAAAATTGTGCACTGTCCCTGTGTCATTAAATAAAGAAATAAATTAAATAAATAAACTACACCAGGACTGATCTTGGACTTAAGAGAGAGAGAGAACCCCGAGTGAGAGAGAAAGCGTGCTCGAGTGACGGCTGCACTTACCTCCGTGCGCGCAGAGATCTGCTCCAGACCTTTAACCTGCTGTCACCTAACAGTCTACATGGGTGCACCTCCAAGCCAGTCCCGGCAGTGAGTCCTGGTTCAGTTCTGGTTTAGTCCTGTTTTAGTCCTAGTTCAGTCCTGGTTTAATTCTCCTGGTTCTGTCCTGGAATCAGTCCTGGTTTAGTCCTGGTTCAATCCGTGGTGTGTGTGGCGCAAAAGTCCGGCATCTCAATCAGTGTTTCTTCTGCTCAGTGAAGTCCAGTCGTGTCTGTGAATTCGTATTTGTACTGAAGAAAGCGTAATTGATTCATTTCATTTTGTGATTGTAATTCTTGAAATCTAACTTTTCAATTTTCGGATGGCTGCTTCAGTTAGAATGTTTTTAATCTGTGTGTGATTTATCATAGACACGGGTGAGTAACAGGTAGAATGTTAAGGTTAAGGTGCAGGTTTAACTTTGATAAAATCTCGGGTTAACGGGTGGGTGCGGTGCTGAACTCTGTGGGTGCAGGCGGGTGAGGGTCTCCAAAAACAGACCTGTGCAGGACTCTGATGCAAGGTAAAGACAGATGATTAGGTGCGCTGTATCTTTTCTGGTGAAGGGTGTGCCACCTGCTGGTCTCCATGTTATTGTTACTGCCTTTAAGGTTCCACTGTATGGCATTAAACTCTGATAAGTATTAACCACAGATACTGACATGTGCACTTTAAATATTATCAGTCATAACTGTTTCATTCTTTAGTTTACACAGTGATCTTTATTTTATTTAATTTTATTTTATTTTTTACAGAAGACAGAAGAGAGACTGCCTATGAAGAAAAATCTGTACGAACCAACAATTTATCTGATAAATCTTTGAAATCATTCAGTGTGCTCATGTAAGGTGTCAGGAGAGTAGCTTTAAAATAAACAGCTGTGAGCAATGAATGAAAAACATAGTGTGTTCTATTGTTACAACTGTAAGCCATTTTTTCTGTTTCTCTGTTCAGAAAAGCCCCCAGCCTCAGAAGTTGAAGAGAATATTTAGCACTTTTACTCAATACTTTTTCATCAATTTATATCACGTTGAAGACAAAAAAAAAAAAAAAAAAGATCTAAAACATTGTATATATTTATATATAAAATAAATGTGTTTCTCACCTTCCACGGTGGTAGGTCTCTCACCCTCATTCAGCTCGGGTCCTCTACCAGAGGCCTGGGAGCCTGAGAGTTCTGCGCAGTATCTTTGCTGTTCAAAGTACTGCACTTTTCTGGACTGAGATGTCCGTTGTTTTTCCCGGTATCTGTTGTAGCCACTCTTCCAGTTTGGGGGTTACAGCCCCGAGTGCTCCAATCACCACAGGCACCACTGATGTCTTTACTTTCCAGGCTCTCTCCAGCTCCTTCCTTGAGCCCCTGGTATTTCTCTAGTTCTCGTGTTCCTTTTTCTTGATATTACCATCGCTTGGTATTGCGATGTTCACCACCACGGCTCTGCTCTGTTTCTTATCCACCACCACTATGTCTGGTTGGTTCATCACCATCCTGTCAGTCTGTATCTGAAAGTCCCACAGGATCTTGGCTTGGTCGTTCTCCACAACCTTTGGAGGTGTTTCCCCCCTTGATCCTGGGGTCTCCAGCTCGTACTCTGCACAGATGTTTCTGTACACTATGCCCGCCACTTGGTTATGTTGCTCCATGTATGCTTTCCCTACCAGCATCTTACACCCTGCAGTTATGTGCTGGACTGTCTCAGGAGCCTCTTTGCACAATCTACACCGTGGGTTTTGTCTGGTGTGGTAGATCTGGGCCTCTATTGCTCGAGTGCCCAGGGCCTGCTCCTGAGCAGCCAGGATGAGAGCCCCTGTGTGTCCTTCTGACCAGCCCTCTCAAGACATTGGTAGGATTTCTTAATATCAGCCACTTCAGTTATGTTCCGGTGGTATGCCCTGTGTAGGGGTTTGTCCTGCCATGATGGTCCTTCCAGCACCTCTTCCTCTGGACCCCACTGTCTGAGACATTCTCTGAGCACCTCATCTGTCAGGGCCTTGTCCTTGATGTTCTCAAGGAGCTTGGATGTTTCATCCTGGACAGTGGTTCCCACACTCACTAGTCCTTGGCCTCCTTCCTTCCGGCTTGCGTACAGTCTCAAGGTGCTGGATTTGGGATGGAACCCTCCATGCATGGTCAGGAGCTTTCATGTCTTAACATCTGTGGTCTGTATCTCCTCCTTTGGCCAGCTTATGATTCCTGCAGGGTATCTGATCACTGGCAGGGCGTAGCTGTTGATTGCCTGCGCCTTGTTCTTGCCATTGAGCTGGCTTCTTAGGACTTGCCTCACTCTTTGCAGGTATTTGGCCATAGCCGCTTTCCTTGTTACCTCTTCGAGGCTGCCATTTGCTTGTGGGATACCAAGGTACTTGTAACTGTCCTCAACATCTGCTGTTGTTCCCTCTGGGAGTGCGACCCCCTCTGTGTGGACTACCTTCCCTCTCTTTGTCACCATCCTGCTACACTTCTCAAGCCCAAATGATATTCCAATGTCTGTGCTGTAGATCCTGGTGGTGTGGATCAGTAAGTCGATGTCTCGCTCACTCTTTGCATACAGCTTGAAGTCATCCATGTAGAGGAGGTGACTGATGGTGGCCCCGTTTCTGAGTCAGTATCCATAGCCAGTGCGGTCGATTATTTGGCTGAGGGGGTTCAGATCTATGCAGAACAGCAGTGGGGACAGTGAGTCCCCTTGGTATATGCCACATTTGATGGACACTTGTGCAAGTGGCTTACCATTGGCTTCAAGGGTGGTTTTCCACAACCGCATCGAGTTTGCAATGAAGGCCCTTAGAGTCCTGTTGATTTTGTTCAGCTCCAAGCACTCAGTGATCCATGTGTGTGGCATTGAGTCGTAGGCTTAATAAATCCAAATAAATAAATCCAGGCAGTGCACAAGTTGGTCTTAAGGGTTCTGCAGTTGCAGGCGACTGTTTGGTCAACCAGGAGTTGGTGCTTTGCTCCTCTGGTGTTTTTGCCGATGCCGTTCTGTGCTGTGCTCATGTATTGATCCACGTGCCCACTTATCTTGCCACGTGCCCACTGATGCCTGACATGAGCTAGCATAATTGGATGGAACTGCACCCTTTGAGGGATCCTTCAGGATCAGGATCATACGCCCTTGGGTTAGCCATTCAGGGTGAGTCCCATCCCTTAGCAGCTGGTTCATTTGTGCTGCCAGGTGCTCATGGAGAGCAGTGAGCTTCTTTAGCATGCATGGATCATGGGCCCGGTGCGGTCCAGTTTTTCATACCTTAGACTCTTTCCTGGATGTCTTCCACTGTGATGGTGACTGGATTCTGTTCAGGGAGGTTGCTGTGGTCTTCTCTCAGATCCACCAGCCACTGTGCATCGGTGTTATGTGATGCCTCCCTCTCCCATATGCCTTTCCAGTACCTCTCAGTCTCCAGTCTTGGTGGGTCTGCTCCAGTTATTACCCTGCCACTGAGCGTACACTTTCGCCGGTTGTGTTGCTTCAGGTATGGGCATCAGGTTGTACCTCTTGGGTACTTGCTTTTTCATTGCACCTTTCTGGACCTCTGACAGTTCCCTCACTTCTCTCCTCGCCTCCTTGATTTTAGCCTCTAACCGTCTTTTCCATCGTGGGTATTACATCTCATGGCTCCCATGGTTGCTCTTATAGCCCAGCACCTCTAGGATCACTGCTGCTGAAGTGTATATCAGCTCATTGGTTTCAGTGATGGTTGTGGTAGGGATCGCTCTCAGTGCTGAATTCACATCGTCTAGAAGACTTTCAGATGGTACTTCACTTAGCCTCTGTAACTGGCATTGGGGTTGCCGTGTGTTCATTCGGGCCATGATCTTATCTTTCAGGTCAGTCGTTGCCTCGCTCAGTGTTATACTTATTGGGGCTTCGTACCCAAACTCTATTTGGGGAGTTGGTGTCAACTCCCCTCTGACCTGGCGTCCTGGTTCCCCCTTGCCGTAGCATTTGTGTTGTAGCTCGTCAATCTCTAGTTGTGATAGCAGTTACCATTTGTGGATGTTGGAACACTGAGCTACTAGTTGTTTGACCATTAGCTTGGACTGTGGGTATCGTAATAACCATTATTCCCACATCCTGTTCATATAACCCCTCTGACTAGGGTTACTGTAGTAGTAGCTCCAACAGAGCCTTGTTCTCAGATCTCGCCCATTTCCTCCGTGTTCCAGTAGCCCATTTTTCATCAAGGTGCCCTGGTTCCCCAGCACCTGATGCAGACCTTGTTTTTATATATATATATATATATATATATATATATATATATATATATATATATAGATAGATATAGATATATAGATATATAGATATATTAGATATATAATGTTTTAGATCGCCACACACCAGATTGAAATGTGCAGCACTCGGAACACTTCTGCATATTATCAACACATTATCAGTGCATTATCATAACCAGGGGTGTAGTGAGTGTGGTACATGGGGGTACAACATCCACCCACTTCTCCCAACATGAGATATAAAAAATAACAAATATAAAATAGCTACATCTTAAATGTCAAACCGGAGCAAAGGTGAAAACAACCTGCATAGACTCATGAAATCTGCACTACTGTTCTATAATGACCTGAGACATGAAGGGACCAGGACTGAACCAGGAAAACCAGGACTCAACCAGGACTAAACCAGGACTAACCAGGGTAAACCAGGACTGGACTGAACCAGGAATGAACCAACACGAAACAGGACTAAAACCAGGTCTAAACCAGGACTAAATCAGGACTAAATTAGGTCTAAACCAGGACTCAACCAGGTCTAAACCAGGACTAAACCAGGACTCAACCAACACTAAACCAGGACTAAATCAGGTCTAAAACAGGACTAAATCAGGTCTAAAACAGGACAAAAACAGGACTAAACCAAGTCTAAACCAGGTCTAAACCAGGACTAAACCAGAACTGAACCAGGACTTAGTGTTGGGGTGGGCTCAGAGGTGCACCCGTGTAGTCTGTCAGGTGACCGTGGGCAAAAGCATCGGTGCAGAGCTCCATGCTTCACGGAGGTAAGTGCACCTGTAGCCTGATCGTGTTTTGCTCCATGAAC